CTTTTTAAACGGTAACTGTAACGGAATACAGTTACTCATATTTTGTATTCTAAATACGTAACGGCGGTACATGTATTCCGTTACTCCCCAACACTGTCCATTGTTGATCTGCACACAGCTGTTGTCACGAACGTCGCACTCGCTTACGTCACTGTCGTGAGACATTCTCGCAAAAAAATCACGGTTTTAGTAACGCAGTAACGCAGCGTTCCTACGGGAAAGTAACGGTAATCTAATTACTGTTTTTGCAATAGTAATCCCTTACTTTACTCGTTACTTGAAAAGAGTAATCGGATTACAGCCCATCTCTGATTATATGATTAGTAAATATTTTTGATTTATAATGTACAGCACATAATAACAAAAGAGAACTCTTTAAAAATGTCTCGACCCATCATTCAATTCAGTAAACATAATTCTATAGCCACAGTTGTACTTTTACTGAACTTATAAAGCATTTCAATTCAATTTTATAAAGATCCAAATCACAACATCAGTGTCATCAACACCCTTTGTATTGTAAGGTTGGGACAATACAATAATACAGAGAAAACTCCAACAATCAGCCAATGCCTTGTCAGAACCAGGCTTTAGGAGGGGCAGCTGTCTGCTGCGACCTGTTTTGGGTGACAAAATCTGTGTTTATCCTCAGCCAACAGAAATAAAATATTTCTCTTGTGATGTCAAAACATAAAGAAAACTTTTATAGTTCAATATCTCAATCAGGTATTTAACAGCAAGAACCAACCAGTCTCTACTAAAAACACATTCATTTTGTGAAACAATGAAAAGTACCCATATATAACAGCAGTAAACTGAACAAAAGGTCAGAATTTGCAGCCACTGGTTTCTTAATTATGAACATTTGAAAAAAACTATTTTTTGCAGTTTGTGATGGATTACAGAACACGAAACATTTTGGTAAGAAGATGGATGTGTGCTGTTAGATGGATTACAAAGACATTTATCGCAGATGTTTATGATATCTAAGATCCCCTGATTTTTCCTCTGCCAGCTACCGGCTGACTGATATCTAGACAGACATTTTTAGCTGTCAAACTGCCTGCATCACACTTCCTTAGTTAGGTTTTGCACAAAGAATATTTTTTTTTACTGTTTTTATGTGTTAAATTGCCCTCTTTCTTGGATAACTTTAGATCTTTCGGCACATCCTATAAAACTTACCTACAACACTAATGTTCAGTAGATACACTGACTATTTAAGAGTGTTGAATGATTGATTAATTAGTTAGCTTTTAATCTACAAGGAGACTATTTTAATACTAGAACTTGGCATCACTTCAATAGAGAAACAGATAGCAATCCAAACTTTTCCTTTCAGGCATTGCTGCTGAAATTCTTCATAGGATTAAAGTTCCATGATCGGGTTATGTAGGTGAAGGGTTTTCTGCAGTGCTTCAGTCAGGAGTTTCTCATGTCAGTCTTTCCATATGATTAGACGAATTTTGCTGGGGATTTCTTTTTCTGTCTGTACCTTAGCACTTCATAAAGGTCTCCTGTGAATGCTCTGTTCCAAAACCTTACAAATTGAATTGTATATTAATGTGAAAGCTTGACTTTTTCTTTCATTGATTAAAACAAACAAACAAAAAAGAAAATCTCAGCTGCTGCTCTCTTTTTTGGACCATTCTTTGTAAACCCTAGAAATTCCCAAATTCAGTGTGGAATAGTGGGCTGCTCAAATGTCCGAGCTTCTCACCCTTTGCAGGAAACTCATTTCTGCTGCTTGTATCCACAGTTTCATTCTTTCAGTCTTCATTCATTCTATGCTCATGACTATAGGTGGGGGTAGGAATGTAGATTGAATAGTAACTCAACAGGGTCGTTTTTATGCTCATCTCTCTCTTCACCACAATGTATTGGCAAGTTTCACCAATCCATCTTTCAATCTTGTCTTTTTAACTTTGTGAACAAGACCCCAAGATACTGTTATCCAGTAGGATAATATAATAATCACATAACTTTATTTATATACAATTTTGATGGTACCATCCTCCAGATTCATTTACCGACCCCTCAGCTGAAGGACTGTCCAGAGAGCGAGCAAGGGAACGGGACCGCAGTCGGCCTCATGAGAGGAGGCACCACTCCTCAGCGGGAGAGAAGCAGCGCTACTATTCCTGTGAGCGTTACGGCAGCAGAGAGCAGAGCCACACCAAGTCAGCTGGTCCCAGCCGATCCACGTCTCCAGGAGAGGGACAGGACTCTGGTTTCCTCAGACAGGTGAGTTACCTGCCAAACTGTATGTGGCTTAGTGATTAACAGCTTGCTTGTTATGCAGTCTGTATGTATTCAAACAGTGGCCTGACTTACAGCTTAGTCAATCTACATCCACATTTGCATCAACACCCATTTAAATTGCAATTTTGAGCTTAATCAACAATGAAAGCCTCTAGATTTGTTTAACAATTTGATGTTTAAGTTTTTCAAAAAAAATTATTTGAGTGATCGCGCTGTATGAGGAATGATCAGTAAGTTCTGGGAAGAGTTCCATCAAAACCTGATTTGGGCAATCTCCCATTAAAGTTCATCCTCTCAGGCATGTTCAGATCTTCTCCAGAATGGCGGATATTTATAGATCTCTCCATGGAAGTCCTCTGTGTTTAGAAAGAAAGAAAGTGTACTTTATTGATCCCCGTGGGGAAATTCCTCTCTGCATTTAACCCATTCACTCAGTGAAGCAGTGGGCAGCCATTGGGCGCCCAGGGAGCAGTGTGTAGGGACGGTACCTTGCTCATGGGTACCTCAGGGTAGCTGTTCAGGGGAATCGAACCCCGACCTTCCAATCATGGGGCCACCACTCTACCTACTGAGCTATCCCTGCCCAATTTACAATTTACAGAGAGCAGACAACAACTCTCTGATCATGAAAGGTGTGTTTCCAACTATAACCAGGCACTTTTCAGCAGTATTCAGTTAAGCTGTCCACAGTATCCAAGTCCATGTCATCTGAGGAATGAGTTTGTGAGCATGTTCATACTTTTTTTTTTTTTTTTAGCCAACATTCATCAGGTTGTGCACCATCCCAAAGGAAGTCCTAAACCGTTGAGTAGAAGGCAGTTGTAATTCTTTTTAGGTTCATGAAGATGTTTCACCTTTAATCTGAGAGGCTTCAGTTTTAAAAAAGTTTTTCACCTTTATGGTGGTCCTGAGATCGCATTACAGGCATTTAGCCCCCAGTTACACCTTGGTCCACATGACTTTAATAACTCAATTGATTGCAAGGTGGGGCAGTAGTGCCTCAAAGAATTCACACCTTGGCTCATGTGACCATAATGACCAATTCCTTGGTTCATGTGACTCATATGATGACAGAATGGGTCAGTGACTCTAAGGACCACCTTCAAAGGGACAACCCCACTAGGGTTTAATATGGTAGCACTGAAAGGTCACATGGACTGCAACTTAAGAAAACACCAGCAAACAGAAAAATGCTGCAAACGCACACAAAACAAACAAAAAAAATGCTGCAAAAACTGAAATGTTTTGGTTTCTGTCACTTCCCCATCTGGTCCATCTCATTATTGTGTCCCCAGAAACACTTCTGGTGGGGTTTTTTTCTTAAAAGGGTATTATGCTTTTATGCAACTCAGTCCTAATTAATGGTTTCAGCTTGGACCTCCCTTGTGTCTGCAACTACAGCAACAAAACTGCTGCCTTCTCATAGTAACATTGGTCTGTATATTTGTGCCCATGTGGCTTATTGTGCTTTTAGATAACATAAAGAAGGGATGTCTTTACAGGATGTATGGACAGGTGAACAAATAACAAACATTAAAACTAAAAAAAAAGGATTAATCCTTCAAAGTCGCTGTTGTGCAACTAAATCATTCAGTCTTTCCTTTCTCAGCATGGTGGCAGTGTGGTTAAATCTGGCCACGGGACACTTCCATCTGGTTCAAGCACACCGGGTCGTGGTCGCAGGCAGCTCCCCCAGACGCCCCTCACCCCTCGTCCCGCTGTGGCCTACAAGACTACCAACCCCTCCAATCTCCCATCCAGTGCCATCATGGCTACAACAGGGCACCAGACTCGCTTCAGCCGTGGTCTTTCAGAGCATGATCGCTTACTCGGAGCCCACGAGGAGTCCCCAATACCAATTACTCGAATTGGGTCTGACCCTAATTTAAACCGGCAGCAGCAGGACTCGTCTCAGAAGGCTCTCCTTGATGAGGAGGACTTCCAGGATGCTTTAAGCAGCCAAGGAGGAGGCCGCTCTGCCAGAACTGCTGCCTCCTCTACAGCCTCCGCATCTCACCCAACTACTGCTACACCCGTCACAGCACCCACCACACAGGGCCGAGCAGTGGTCATGCCTAATGGGTACCACTTCACTCTTGGGGTCAACTCTTCGTCTGGGCCTGGGAATAGAGGAGCAGGAAGTCTCAGGGAGAGGGAGGAGGATGACTGGTGCTAACGTGGCAGAAAATCTTAGAAAGCCTGCTGTTAGCTAGAATGGGGCAGCTCATGAGTGCTGCTCAGCGCTCAGGTCAGGAGCTGGTACAACAGGAGGCCAGGCGACTGATACAGAAGAAAACACGATGAGGGAAAGTCAGTGGAAAGCGCTCTGAGAGGGGATCAGAAATAATTACAGCTTTTTAGTGTTACTGTCTTTTTAATATATCAACCACTTTCAAGAGAAAAACACTGACTTTTTCTAACCCCTTTACTTGCACTGGAATTAGCGCACATGTGGAGGCTCTCAAGTATTTTGCCTTGGCCAGTATATTCAGTGGAGAAGAAGACAAAAGCCAAAATATCCCTGTTGTTTGTGCTTTAGACTGATGCTCATCCCCGGCATTGATATGACTGCCCACACCACACTTTTTATTGCTGTATGTCTTATTTTGTTACCAAATTTCTCTCTCTTGCTTTCTCCTGGTTTGTTTCTTTATTGTATTGCAGCACATCTTTACCAGAGCAGATTAGGAAAGCTTTTTGTTTTTAATGTATGTCTTAAAATTCTGTCAGAACACCCAGTAAACACAAGAGTCACACAATGACTTAAGATAAGACCAGAGTTGAGTTTTTAGAATCCCACTTTTGTAAAATCTCCCAGATGTAATTTTGTGAGAGCACATAGGGACTAGAACAACTCGTTTTTGACATTAAGTGGCTAACTACTAAGTGCCTCTTTTACCACAATGTATTAAAATGGAGCCTGACTTTGGGTCAGTGGAGGTTGGGTGTAGCTAAAAAAACGCAAAAGCAAAAACAAAAAAAACGTGGTCAGAACAAAACTTGTGTTTGAATCTGGGCTGAAAGCAAAAAATCAAAAACAAAACAAAACATTTCTTTTGTGATGAATCTTTTCGTAGGAAGATTAAAATTAGAGATCCAAAGTGTAGTGCATGCCAGGGTTGTCAAAATAGTGTCTGTACTTTTGCCTGAGGGTGTGTGGTAAGCATTTGCCTTTCTCTTTCAGATATACTGCCAGACATTTGGTAGAAAACATTCTCTAAATGAGGGGAAAAGTGCCATTTTTTTTATGATTTTCTGAACATGAATCTCACATCCAGACAAATCTGCCTCCTCAAGCAAATCCCTTCTTGGCCATATTTGCCCAAATTTCACGGGTTTCCTATCTTCTAATCTTTCCTCAGACAAAGTTTTGCGTGAGGGTACCTGTGTGCGTATTTATAGGTACAATAAAGAGTTGTGTTGTTGCTGCTGACTGTTGACTTAAAGTAGGGCTATGCAACAAGACGACACTTCATCCGCCCTGTAGCTTTACCCTCTGGAAACTCCAGATTCAGGCTTTAGTGTGACTGTGACCAAATTTTACATTCATGTGTGAGGAGCTGTAAATTGTAAATGTATCATATGTGTACAGTTAACTGACAACACACACTAAAGGCACGAATGGTATCCAAGTGGATATAAGTGAATTCACAGGGCATTTTTGAGGTTTGCAAGTTGACTGCACGACGCCTACTCAGATAGAACCACCCAAAATATAAAACTGTGTTCTTCTCTTTCCAGACTTGGGTCAAGTTGTATTTTTAAATAATTGTAGTGGTTTTTAAACTTGCTGGAAGAGCCAGATTCTTCAGATTGTTAATGAAGTGGTTTTATGTCACTCAAAAGTGAGAGCTGAACCAGACCTGTACCAACTCCTCTGAATCTTTACCTCTTCCAACTGGGCAGGGTATAAATCCTCACAGAATAAGGCTTGCAATACTCTATTTTCTTTACAGTCAACAAATTTCAAACCAAAACTCAGTTCTTTCTGTGCTTTATTAGCCTGAAGCCCATTTATACAACTAGCAATGGCAACCTTTCTGAATAGATAACAAAATATAATTTTATAAATTTCATATCTTACATTTTGTGTTTGTAGAGTATTTTTTTCAATTATTTTTTTAAACTTAGTTACTGTAGACTTTAGAAATGTTTTTCAACTTAAAAACTACTTGGGTTGGTGCTAGTAATTTGTTGGCAAACATTTCCAGCTCTATATTGATCTTTAGAAAGTTAAAAAGTGCATATAAAATTAGTGCAAATGTAATCTTAAAACCTTCTTGAAAACTAATATTGAAAAATCTCTGTTGCAATGACTTTGGAGCTTTCTGATGAAAAGGATAACCAGCCTGACATTTCCTGTTCTGTCATCTCATTTTTATATTTCACTATAATTTTTTTGAATATTAAAACATATATAAATAATGTAAGAATATATTAAAGAATACATAAAATGCAGAATATTAATATTAAAAGAATCGGGGCGGGGGGTTAACTAATAAAATGCAGCGATCTGGTAACTCTGGTTATGTGATGCTACTTCATTGTTTAAGCACACTGGGTTATGATTGCAGACATCTCTAACTGATGCCATTCTTTTACCCCTGTGGCCTAAAGATGTCAATTTATCTTCCAGTATCAGTTTTGCTACATTAGGGCACCGATCTGTTTTTAACTGTTCATTTTTAGAGCATGGTCACTTATTATCTAAAATTAAGGCATTAAAATTTCATCAATCAGTCCTTTAAAAGTGTTAAAAATACTAGATGTCAGAGATGTTATTTTCTGTATCGTAAGGTTAGCCAAAATGCTCATGAGTAGCTTGATCTGCTAGCTGACAATAGGATTGTGAAGTGTAAATTAAATGAAAACTGAATTTCAGCCAAAATTTTGTGGGATTAATGAAACTGGTACTACAACTGTACACAAGGCCTGGTGTATTTTGTATTTCAATATGAATTGCAGCAGTGAAAACCAACGTGAGGTCCAGTACAAGCATTTCTAACAGGCTAGCTTACATGTATTAGTTTGCTCGTGACGCTAACAACAAAAGGGTTTTTTTTTAATGTTCAATTAGAGCCTCAACTAAACCACATAAACTGATCCAAAAAAACACATTAATTATTTTTCTTTTTCCTAAATTTTGTTCTTGTTAAATGAATCCTATATTTTATTCTGAGTCACATTTAGCAAAGTTTTAAATCTAACTTAAGATATAGGGCCAGTGCTTTATTTTGATTCAGCTACATGCATCTTAAGCGCGTTTAAACATGAGAGGTCAATAAAGGAATATGTAATATCTAAACCATACTATATAATCCAGTTAACTTACAGTATCAAAAATATTGGTCCTTACCTACAGAATCTACACATTCATAAATATCCTAAGAAAAGTCACTGAAAACTGTTATTTTGTCACAAATTTGAGTATTAAAATTATTGGATAGTAAGAAAGTGTTTGTGGGACTTGAACTGTTGTTTAAGAAAGGAAGGAAAGTGTCACCCAGTGCAAGCGTGTGGTTCACTGATGAATTTTAAATCGTTTCTGGGCAGCAGTTTTGAATACACAGAGAATACTTAAATCCACTCTTTGTTTAGTTCTTTTATTGGCTTCCAAATAGGAATAGTGCAGAACATGGCCAGCCCTATCCTTTAAAGTACATGGCTGAAAGAGTTCTCTTTAATGACAGCCTGCTACTTAAATGTACACTGCTATACATTAGGTTGTAAAGCTTTGAAAATAGGCAAGAATTTGTTTCTTATATCAACCATGGAGGTGATGATTATAGTCCTTGTTATCTGATATCTGAAAAACCTCCTGCTTTTATTATAGTACAAAACCTCTGTGCCTATTTTGTTCTGGCAAGTTTATAAACATGCAAATTATTTGCAAATATTCTAACCCGGTCTGATTTTATCCAGATACAGTTTTCATTTTTTTCTCTTAATTGTGCAATGTACTTGATGGATCTCACGGGATTTTAGACCATAAAGGTGTGACTCTGTTCTTCATCAGGGCAACAATAGATTGCTTGTTGTCTCATTGCAAGTTGCTATATTGGGGCAGAGATTTGTGTTTATGTCAAAGACCTTATTTTCAAACCTCCAGTGAGCCCTACGTAACCAGGGTGCCAAGTTTTCCTCTTCCAGTTTTCTAAAGCTCCCCTCCCATCCCCCTCTGGACATGTCCTCTTTGCATGTTCTCAAAAGAAAATGTGCATGTGCTAAAAAGAAAAAGAAAAAAAAGAAACAAAGATAATAATAATAATAGAAGTATTGTTTGGCTTCATTATGTCCATGATTTGTACAATTCGTTCCTTGGTTGTATTTTCTGATTATCTAAACAAACGATGTATCGGTTTCAGGTAAAGAAAAAAAAAGAAAACAAGCTTGAATAACATTTTCTCACAGAACCACCAAAGTGGAAGCAGATTAGAGGTTCTGGAGTGGCTGATCCTTCGCTGCCTGATCTGTTACTTGACTGTCCTGCAGTCATTTGGACTCTACCTATAGATTTTGTATGAATATAAGTCATTGAATAAAGAGGTATGATTATGAAATGTCGGTGTCTGAAGATTTCCTTGAAATGTCTCTTGATTGAGTTTGGTATTATTTACCATTTTATTAGAGCTAACATTTTTTTGTTAGCTTGAGACCTTCGGTGGTTTCTACAAGGAAAAGGAAGGTAAGCATTCAGTAGACATTAATCAAATAGGAATTTCAACAAATCCCGGCTTCTCAAGTTTTAAACACACTAAAACTGGTGCTGTGCTACCTGATATCTGGAGATTAGGATGCCAACCACATGAGTACAGATGTAATCAGCCGTTGTTTGAACCAGACATCACAAGCATATTGGGTGATTGACAAGCTGTTACATGCATAACATGTTATATGTGTCTTTCTGTACAAGGAACCATCATTTATAAATAAACATGTATTCAGTATGATGATAAAGTCATCATGAACGTAACGAGCAAGAAAGCCAAATTCCATTCACCCAAAGTCTTCCATATAACCAGAAGTCTTTTTATAAGCACATGAGTTGCTTCATGCTGGCTATAAAAAAAGGATACAGGTGTGAGGCATTACATCTCTCTTTTATATAGAGTCTTTGATGAGGTACAGAAAAAACACAAGGACCTGGAAGATTAACGTAGGTGTTATGTTGTGAAAGACTTGTTCTAAACCAAAACAAGTAGTTATGATGGTGAGAGACATGGAAGCAGTAGATGAAAAAGCAGTAAGCAAAATTTAAAGCAAAACAAGTGGACCAGAGGTCAGAGGACTTGACTTCCTGTCTACTTCTCAGAAATCAAGTGTGTTTTTGACTCCTCCATCCCCGCCTCTTATTCAAACGTTTCAATTACTTGATATAAAAAACACTGCTACACTCTGCACTTGCCATGCTGGAGGATATATTTTATTAAAATTTCATAGTTTTTAAGAAACCCATATTGGTCTCAAGTAGCTTTGGAATCTGCACATTTGACGAGTGTTTAATCTCCCTAACCCATGTCCAGCCAGTCTCCTACTTTACCAAGTAGGCGTTCTTCCTACCTTTACCCTTTTACCTTTGCCTATACTGCTTCCTGTTTTTGGTTCCTGGATTGTGAGCTTGGTACTGTAGCCTGTGTTTGCACCTCACAATGTTGTATGTTTGGAGTGGAATTACAAAAGTTCTAACCATCTCTTGGGAGGTGGAGAGAGGGAAACGAGTCAATTTTTCAAAACAAACAAATTAAAAGTAAGTTGAAGACAGGCTCGAAAACAAAAATGGGCGGAGGCCCTGCAGGGATTTAATTGGTCAACAGGAGAGGGGCGGGGCTTCTCTTTGCTCGTTTGGCTCTGCAGTGATGTGATACAGCTGCAGGAGGAGAGAAGCTGCTGCTGGCTGAGAAGGAGGATGAGGAGAGGTGAAGAGGATGAAGAGTTAGTTACTCTGCACTTCGCTCCTATTAAAACTGCAGAATTATAGAAAAAGTGCGATTCAGCAATGTTCCCCACTTTGACTGCTCTTTAACTGGATCAGTTCAGACTTTCAGTACTTTTCTAGTTTGCATATGTTTCATTTCTGAAGCATAAAGGCGGCCACACCGGGAAGATGTTGCTCTGGTTGTTAAAATGGACAGTTTGCGTTCTCGGGCTCCTCACGACGAGCAACGCCTCACCTGACGACGCATCGGTCGACTTCGGGGGAGAATCCGGTTCCGGGATGCTGCAAACAGGTAAGATTGGTGCAAACACCTGTGGAGCCTCTCTGCTTTTGAAATAAATATAACCTCACTGATAAGATCAGGGTTACTTTTGCAGCAGTGGAAACTTTTACAAGGAGATGCGTTGAGTCTGTGGTTCTCAGTCATTTCTGGCATGTCACAATTATTAAGACAAAATATGTTCATGCCCCACACCTCATTTTTTTAAAGATGATTAACAGCAAAACTTTGAATTTAGCCTATCAGAAACTCTTTCTTTGGCTTCACTTCATAGTTTCCACCGTCTTCCTCAGCACACCTGCACTGGCTCAGCGCTCCACGTCTGAGACCAATTGGGTTACCTAAAGAAGTTTTATAGCCACATTCTTCACATTTGCACCCCTCCACCCAGCTTTGCTTTAAAGTCCCAATCTGCCTGCAACATGGCATCGCTGACATTTAAAATGAAATTAGCACAGTTTTCAACACTTTAAGTCCCATAAAATGCATTTCTCTCCTAAGTTCTGCCATATTAAACAAAGTCATCTACTATGTGCCATAAAATATAAAATCATTGTAGTTTTCTTGGAAATCCAGGAAATGTGCTTTTTCTGAATTCTTCACCCTTTACTGCAAAAGTGTTATTTTCCTTTTTTATGCCACATTTGCTGATGCATCCCCTTAAAGGCACTTATAACCCAGCAGGACAACAGCAGGATGAACTATTAGTCAGCTACACAGCATGACATCATTTTTTTCAGAGCAATTTGGATCCAGATAAAAATATTTCACTTCTCATCAGCAGCTCCTCCGACACTCAACAACTGCAGTCGCTCCAGCTCTGATGTTTTTCCTCTAATCGCTTTTTGGCGTGAGAGCAAACTTAAAGCGTTTGTAGACTGAGGGAATAATTTTGTTTTTGCATGCTGTGAATAGTCAGACCACAATGAACTAATCAGGCTGTGACTATATTTCTTTATTTATTTTTTGAGCACAGACCACTTATTTTTATGGCGTATTTTAAAGATTCTGACAGCTTCACAAGAAGAAAATACTAATTAAAAAGCTTTTTAGAGCACATTTGTTATTCAAATTAAAACCTGCTGATAACTATTTCACATCAGCAAATTGGAAGCCCTTAAACCAAAGTCTCTCGTATTCCAAATTTTAAAAGTTGCACTGATTTTGCAACCAAAAAAAAGGCCTTTTAAATATAGATTCTTGCTGCCAGAGTGCCATTGTTGCGCTCATCTTTAATTAGATTTATTATCAATTTATCTAAGACAAGACAAAATCTAAGACACAAATGCTTTTATCTCTGAATTAGACAAGGCAGAATCACAAATTTTTAGATAATATAGATGAAAAGAAGAGTTGCCGGAGACATCATTCACAAAAAAATGCCTTTAGTTTGTAATGAATACATGTGGAAACTGAAACCAGAAGTCACCACAGTTTATTAAATCCCATGGAATGTGTTTAAGGTGCCAAACAGTCTTAGTTAATCAAAGCATCACTTTCCAGAGCCAGCCCTGTTGTCTCATCAGAGCTTTCACTTGTCTGGAGCTTCTTTGTTGATGCAGTGACAGTGTTGTACGTGCTGCAGGATTACATTGAGTTTTTGAGCCCTTTAATCCACCCCAGAGCTGTGGAAATGAATCTTAGATTGGACTTCCTCCAGTCACATGATTATGTCATGACTGGAGTACCTCTCCATCACACTGTGTTTACTCTCCCATTTGAGTTTTATTAAATTTTTTTATTGCGTTCATCTGTATTAGAGCCACACAGAAACATCTGAGAACTGTTTAATGTTTTCATGGAGTATTTTCATAGAATTACTGTAGATGTAGTGTAAAAGCTTTGTCCATGGCAGGCGTCACTAAACACACTAAGGAAATACAGTACAGTATTTCCTCTGTTATTTTTGGGTTTCTTTACTTAAAGCTTGCCAGGCTCCACATGTAACTGAGATCATTTGGGAATTTCTGAACTCTGCTGATACAATGACTCAAGCCTTGACAATGAGACAGGGCATACCACAAGAATAGAACAGAAATTTTGAGCCAAACCAATTTGCAGTTAACAAAAACAAAGTGGTGTCATTAAGTGGTTTTATTCAGCTTTGCTAAATTTGCCATTAGATCTCTGCAAAAACATCAAAAAGACATGCATGATACCCCAAACTGACCATCTGCACCTTCACTTATTGGTTTATTAGTTATGAACCTTTGTTGTGCAAGAATTGGTTACATGCCATGAATTTTGTTCCAAAGAAATTCTGTCTGACACTGACACTAACTGTGTAAAAGGGACGCTTTTTTATTTTACTCAGGGATCCTACCTGAGTAAAATAACCAACTAAACTTTTCAAAAGCACTGATTTAAAAATAGTTACAATGTTTGAAGAAACATTAACCAGCTTATTCCCAGTGTTCCGTTTCAATCCTGGCTTCTTGCTCAAAGACGTTGGCTTGCTTTATTAGTTGCAGTTTGAGGGAAAGAAAAGAAGAAAGAGGTCAGCAGTCATTCATCTTTATATCTGTACCCCTTATGACTGCCATAAATCACCTGTACTATGAGTGGAGCATTCCTTTTTCACATTTTAGACATTTGTTTTATCTGTTCTCATTGTCACTGGCGCTGTGTTTGGGCTTTGAAGGCACGGCATTGTCTTTAAGTGCTGAGTCTGCACCTGTCAGACTGGTGGAGAAGGAAAAAAGCTGTAATCAGTGCTTATGAAGCCACTTTACTTTTGAACCAAAGCTGCTTTTCATGGTTTGGGTTGGGCCCATTTGTTCCAAATTTGGCGTGGAACGATTTGTCTCCTTGATGCACTTCCCTGCATCCTACTCGCAGCTCTATGACTGCTTGAATGTAAGCATTTCTGTCATTCCCAATCCATTCAGTTATGACTTTCAGTCATCCATATCCAGCTGTGATACTCCAACATGTCTTGAATAGCTAGTGTAACCTCTGACCCTGTGAGATGGGTATCACTGGAACATAGTATGCAGAACAGCTGCTGGGAAAAGTTTTGAGATGCCCATGTGTCTGAGTGTCTCCATACATCTCACCATCACTCATCCACTTTCCTCAGAAGTTGAATTTGCTGACTAACCATCTTGACCTTCTGTGACAGTGGAGCAAAGTTGTAAGCTTTTTTTTTTTTTAAGTTTTCAATCATATATACTGTAGATAACCTAAATCTGAACCAGATTTAACAACTTCAAAACCTTTTTGCTCTGAGAGCACTCTAAGGATATAGCGTAAGGATATCTTTCCATGCTGCGCTTTGAAATACAGCGGAAGATATTGGCAGAATGACCTCACCATGAAATTGCAATGAACTGACTGCAGATGTGATGATTTCTCTGGTAGCTGATGGGCAGAAAATATGTCACTAGAAATTTGTTGAATGTTTCTTCTACTTTCGGTTCAATGAATGCACACCGCGTTTCTATATAGAAATACTGAAAATGGAATTTTTTTTTTTTGGGATTTCATATAGTCCATGCTTACACCTGCTCAGTTGCTATTTTGAGTACATGAATGTCTTTATACCATGGAGAATATAAAAGATGGATGTAGCCATGTTGATGCCAAACAATGGATGGAAAAGTCTTGTAATCAAGCTTCAGGTTGAGCTTTTTCACCATTTTTGTGTGCTGACACAGATTGTGAAGAGGGAGATTTCACTGTGAGACCAATAACACTGCATGCTTATTGACTGGTGACAGTAGTTTACAAAATGATCTTCAGGTTTTATTCAGTCAAAGTGAAATTGGTGATTAATGCCATACACTCATCAAGAAAATGTTAACTGAGTTCATAGAGCGAGGGAACCAACAACTATTTTCCAACAAACTTCGTTAGAACTCAAGATTGACTGCACACCTTTTTAAGGGCTTTGATTTTGGAAGTGAATTTCCTTTTCATTTTGCGCCTTTAAGATTTCTTGTTAACATTTTTAGGCCTTGAACCAAGCCAACCAGCTATGATATGAATCATAAACATGAAGAGGTTTAATTTCTGTTAAAAAAAAAAAGAAAACAAACAAAAAAATGTGCTCACTAACTGACCTGACATTCATGTTTTTACATTTTTTCCCCTCTACTATAGAATTATTGTCACTGAGAGTGATTTTCAGTACGTTCTGCAACACTTATGTCACTTTGCAGAGCCCTAAAGTCAAACCAGATCAAAAGCACAGCACCAGCTATGTCACAGAGATACTCATGCGCTTCCCAGCAGGTTGAGCTCATGATGTCACCGCCAGTATTATGCCAGATCCATAACCAGGCATCTGCATCCAATGAAACATAATCGTGGGCCTTAGTGGCTGGCAAGCCCTGATCTGGAGCCCATTAGGCAGCTTTTAACCAGACGGAGGCCCACGCACACTGTAGCATGTGTGCTGCTATTCCCTGTTGTATGCATAGACTGGGTCATCGGTCTGGTTCTGGGTGTGGAGCAGACCACAGCTTGTGGTTAGATTTGTTTAAAAAAAATGCGGGTGGAGATGGCTAGGTGCAAACCATATGTTGGACCAGAACAACTTTCCATCTGCAATCTCTTCTCAAGCCGACTGGAACCAGATGGAAGATAGAGTGGGTTGATAGTGTACAGACAAGGTTCCTCAGATGTTTGATATTACACACAAGTGAAAAAAATAACTTTTCATTCTTATTTTTTGACAATTTACAACATTACTGCAGCAAAGGCTTTGTGGTATCATTTCCCAGTTTGTACCCCACTGTCGGGCCACATCGGTGAGACCAACAATTACAGTCCGTAAGACACAAAGACACAGGACAGTTTAACAATGCAGTTGTTTCTGTTTGTGGTTCCACTTGTTTAACACGCATATTTGTGTCCACTCACTACGTAGGAATTAGTTGCAAATGTTGAACACCTGCCTTGCGGTGACTATAAGAGCACGTTGCACCTGGTATTACAAGTGGTACTGTTTTATTTGTGGTGTGCCAGTTTACATTCCTTAAGTTGAATAACTATGTTTAGTGGTTTGATTT